TGTTTAAAACAATATATTGAACTGATTTTAGAAAAAAGTAAAAGAAATTGGTTTTTTCTACCTGTAAAATATCAGATTACTCCATTGCTCCCTCCAATTGAGCGGATGAAAACCCCTAGCTGTTGACTACTGCATGAATGGAGGTGCAAAGCATTACATAGGAATTACTTTTAGAATGATTAAACACAATATTAGAACACGAACAAACAATCCAATTAGGGTAATATCCGAACAACTACAAGAACAAGAACAAGAAAAATGCACAATATTAGAATACTAACCACCCGATTCTGTAGCAACCCATCGCATGATTCACTGAAATTCCAGAGTTAAATTGCTACTTCAAGCATTTACTCCTACAGCAGGTGAAGCCGTGAATTTCGCGAGTATTTACTCGGATTACGCAGAAGGATGAAATTGAATCGCCATTCAATTGCATCACGATTAGCCAGGTTGTGTTTGGATGGTTTACGCAAAGGAGAGTTGGAATGTACTGGGACATAGACGATGTTTCTAACGGCTGGGGCATATTGGGGAGTGTATATGACACGGTACAACACTAAAGCCTAGGAGTACAAATATTTTGGATGGAAAAAAGCCAAAAAATTAATGGGTACCTAACTGGATTCTACGTTTATATAATAAGAGGGATATGCCCCCCCTATGTTTGTCAACTACGATGTACTCGATCATCTAAAGCTTATTTATGCTCAATTATAAGTAGCAATATAATTGTAATTTGGTTTTTCAAATGTCATATATACACAAAAAGTTTAAGCCTACAAATTTAAAATTTTAATTTCACAACTGCAATACAATGATGTACCCAAGGTACATAATGATCATAATACGAGGTCCAACTATAGAACCAACAACAAGACAATATTCAACACATCTAATTATTTTCATGTATGTTTCATATATTTTTTTAAATTATGTACATTGAGTTAAAGTATTCTCTTATTAGTATTATTTCTTTTAAAGAAATAATCTACCGTATTATATCTAATGACTTCCTACAGTCATTCCACTACAGGATTCTTTAGTCATTAGTAAAAGAATATATATCTCACCAGATTAGGGGCGTTCCCCTTCTGTCCAGTCAAAACTATTCGGTGGTACCAAACCGAAATACATATGTGCACAGATTATATGATTCAAGTATGTCTCACAACATATCTATTGGCATCTAAATTTTAATCTCATATAATACCATTATCTATATCTAAATATAAATTCAGACTATTATCATTATCTGAATAATGTGCTAAGAGTAAGATAATATCTTCCATTGTTTTATTATATTTCAACAATATAAAATCTAAGTGTGTTACATACTACTTTAAGACCAATATAAGATATCTGCCTAGAGGAAACATAGAGACTGGCCGCACCTGAAAAAACAATTATCTTTCAAAAACAATTTCTCATTCTCTTATTTGTTTTCCATAAAATGTTTTTTTCCAATGTTTTCAGTCAGAAGAGCACTTTATAAACCAATTTTTCTCTGATACCAAAATGTAACGCCCCACCCTGTATGACACGAGTCATCCAGACCAGAGTTCTAGTAAAACCTGGTTGCTTAGTAAAACATTACTTATTTAAGATAAATTCTCATTTCGATACTCAAGAGTTTAAGATTTTGCGAGTAAGTATGCCCCCCATGCGGGATCAAAGAAAAAAGAATAAATAAGCTCCACAAAAGGTATAAAACATAAGAACGAAAATGAATGACACACGCAGATGATAACAACAACAATAATGTCAAAAACCAAGAATAAAAAATGCAGAACATAATAAGAGAAGAAACTTACACGCTAAGACCCACACGCTTTCGACAATTCCTCAACCTCCAAACACTTCATTTATTTATATAATATGTACCCTTTTCCAATGTGAGCTAGAAGTAGTTATCACTGCCACCATTGTAAATATACCTCATTATCCATTCCATCCTTGTTGAAAATTGCATCCATCATGCGCATCACCATTAGCATAACATGCACACATTTTCTGTGGAAGTTATTATGATGGACCTACATGTAAGCTTATGGTGAGAAATGGGAGAAAATATGATTATAATGGTGGATATGGATCACTTTTTTTTATTCTGACAGTTGCTGATAAATTCTACACCTAGACGGGAAAACTTACAGGAACGTGTGCAAGAAATATGTCACGGAGAACGCGTAAAGCACACTCTCCCTGAGCGTAAAATAAAGCAAGGCATGTTGAGAAATAACTCAGTAGCAGCAACCTTGAAACTAATAGTAAAACAAAGCAAACCTTCACAACTGGATCAGTGGAATATGAAGATGCCTTGAGCTGCAAAAAAAGATAGAGAAATTTAGAAGACCAAAAAGATCAAAGGCAAAATTATGGCCACAATATAACTCAACCCATTGATTATTAATCTCAACCCAGAAGACATATAGACGTTCACATCATGTTTCCATAACCTGCCAAAGAAAAGAAAATGGATACGAAAAAGCATTGACCTTGGCATCACATATAATTTTATGCACACCCATGTTGGAGCTAAGCTAGAGGTCCTTCGCACGAACTTCAAAGTAGGTTTTGCTCAGCCATACATCCATAAAGACCTACGTGTCACTGAGTAATTAATAGTTTTAAGATTACATTCACCCATCAAGACAACGATGTTGTTTATAATAAGTTGAGTTTTTGTAAGACATTATTAGGACATCACATCTTGGAAACAGCCTCCCTACTTCCGAGTAGGGGCAAGGTCTGCGTACACACACTGTAGTGAGATTCAACTGGGTTGTTGTTGTTGTTATTAGGACATCACATATTTCTATAATGTATATAAATGATCGACTCCTTCTTGGTTTCTTGACGATTACGAACAATCTCAATAGGATGTAATGAATAAGAAATGAAAACATGAAATGCCGGCTATTTGGTGTTTGTTGGCTTAAGATGTATGCTATGCTGAGCGCCTGAGTTAGGAACTTTAGGGTGTGAAAGAATGCAACCAATTCCAAATATTATTTTTAGTTAAGAACAAATTCAAAAGCAAGAATGCTCTTTAAAACTACAAAATAAAAAAGTTAACCATCACAGGTTTCTCAAGGAACTCCAATGCTTGACCTCGTGTGTACACCTTGAGACCTGCAAACTCCTGAAAAATAAAAGATGCAGAAATTCAGTAAAGGCATAATCACTGTGTAGTACTACAACTAGTTGTAGGAGACAGGTTAACAGTACAAATCTTGAAATTTAGAGTCCAAGGCCCTTGAAACTATAGGGGCCTAGTATTATTTATGTACCCACATTAAAACTATACAGTTTATTTCATTCAAGTATAATACGATTAAGTAACTATTAGATGCAAAAAAAGTTTTCCATTTTTCTAGTATAAGTGTTTCGACCAGCCAATGAGAATTTAAAAAGGTAAAAATAAATAGTCTAATGAGAATTGATGGCTAAAGAAGATCTGAATACTTTGGATCCCGTGCTACCATTTGCACAACCTCTTGATCGCTCTCCATGCCCATTGCCTTCATGACAATCATTATGGGGACCACCTATATAGAAATAAAACATTCAGTTTTAGATATCCTAAAGAAGTACCTATAGGTGAAAGACAACCATGGTGGATGGTTTTGAGAACCTTCCTTCTAAACTGATCAAACTCTAAGTATATTTTTTCCTCGACCATTTTAATGACTGTTTTGCTTGTATTTTCTTTTGTCCAGCTTGTAACTGATGCTTGTAAACTGAAAACATAAGAACGAAAATGAATGACACACGCAGATGATAACAACAATAATGTCAAAAACCAACAATAAAAATGCAGAACATAATAAGAGAAGAAACTTACACGCTAAGACCCACATGCTTTCGACAATTCCTCAACCTCCAAACCCATTATCTATTTATATAATATGTACCCTTTTCTAATGTGAGCTAGAAGTAGTTATCACTGCCACCATTAATATGTACCCACATGCTTTCGACAATTCACTTCACTTTATTCATATTATCATTGCATCCAAACAACATTATTTTTCATAGCTTTCTAGAGCTAATTTGTGAAGTTTGAGTTGTTCTTGAGCGTATATAGTTTACTCAACATCTACTCTTAAAGAGAGTCTTGTTCTTAAGTGTTCTTAGTGTTGTAAACACGTTTAGGGAAGCTTGTTTCCCTTGGTTGTACGAAGGAAAGGTATTTTCCTTCGGGTTGAAGTCTTGGAGTGCGGTATCTCCGAGCAAGTGTATTGAGGCTCGTGGGACTCGAGTTCTCAGGTTGTAACGGTTTGTTAAGCACCCGTAAGCTTAACGGAAGTAGTGTAGCTCGAGAGAGTCTCTCGGGAGGCTGGATTAGCCACAAGTTGTGGTGAACCAGGGTAAATCTTGGTGTGCNATGTCAAAAACCAAGAATAAAAAATGCAGAACATAATAAGAGAAGAAACTTACACGCTAAGACCCACATGCTTTCGACAATTCGTCAACCTCCAAACACTTAATCTATTTATATAATATGTACCCTTTTCCAATGTGAGCTAGAAGTAGTTATCACTGCCACCATTGTAAATATACCTCATTATCCATTCCATCCTTGTTGAAAATTGCATCCATCATGCGCCTCACCATTAGCATAACATGCACACATTTTCTGTGGAAGTTATTATGATGGACCTACATGTAAGCTTATGGTGAGAAATGGGAGAAAATGTGATTAAAATGGTGGATATGGCTCACTTTTTTGTATTCTGACAGTTGCTGGAAATTCTACACCTAGATGGGAAAACTCACAGGAACGTGTGCAAGAAATATGTCACGGAGAACGCGTAAAGCACACTCTCCCTGAGCATAAAATAAAGCAAGGCATGTTGAGAAATAACTCAGTAGCAGCAGCCTTGGAACTAATAGTAAAACAAAGAAAACCTTCACAACTGGATCAGTGGAATATGAAGATGCCTTAAGCTGCAAAAAAAAGATACAGAAATTTAGAAGACCAAAAAGATCAAAGACAAAATTATGGCCACAATATCACTCGACCCATTGATTATTAATCTCAACCCAGAAGACATTTAGACTTTCACATCATGTTTCCATAACCAGCCAAAGAAAAGAAAATGGATACGAAAAAGCATTGACCTTGGCATCACATATAATTTTAAGAATATGCAAACCCATGTTGGAGCAAAGCTAGAGGTCCTTCGTACAAACTTCAAAGTAGGTTTTGCTCAGCCATACATCCATAAAGACCTACTTGTCACTGAGTAATAGTTTTAAGATTACATTCACCCATCAAGACCACGATGTTGTTTGTAATAAGTTGAGTTTTTGTAAGACACTAATAGAACATCACATATTGCTATAATGTATATAAATTATCGACTCCTTGGTTTCATGACAATTACGCACAATCTCGATAGGATGTAATGAATAAGAAATGAAAGCATGCAATGCCGGCTATTTGGTGTTTGTTGGCTTAAGATGTATGCTATGCTGAGCGCCCGAGTTAGGAACTTTAGGGTGTGAAAATATTATTTTTAGTTAAGAACAAATTCAAAAGCAAGAATGCTCTTTAAAACTACAAAATAAAAAACTTAACCATCACAGGTTTCTCAAGGAACTCCAATGCTTGACCTCGTGTGTGCACCTTGAGACCTGCACACTCCTGAAAATAAAAGATGCAGAAACTCAGTAAAGGCATAATCACTGCGTAGTACTACAACTAGTTGTAGGAGACAGGTTAACAGTCCAAAACTTGAAATTTAGAATCCAAGCCCTTTGAAACGATAGGGGCCTAGTATTATTTATGTACCCACATTACAACAATACAGTTAATTTCATTCAAGTATAATACGATTACAAAACTATTAGATGCAAAAAAAAGTTTTCCATTTTTCCAGTATAAGTGTTTCGACCATCCAATGAGAATTTAAAAAGGTAAAAATAAATAGTCTTACCAGAATTGATGGCAAAAGAAGATATGAATACTTTGGATCCCCTCCTATCATCTGCACAACCTCTTGTTCGCTCTCCATGCCCATTGCCTTTATGGGGACCAATATAGAAATAAAACATATTCAATTTGAGATATCCTAAAGAAGTACCTACAGGGGAAAGACAACTATGGTGGATGGTTTTGGCAACCTTCCTTTTAAACTGATCCAACTCTAAGTATATTTTTTCCTCGGCCATTTTAATGACTGTTTTGCTTGTATTTTCTTTTGTCCAGCTTGTAACTGATGCTTGTAAACTGAAAACAAAAACCACTAGTATAAATACAAATAGGGAAAAATACATGCTTTTATCGAAGATAATAGTAAACAAGAAAAAAAGGTTTATAATTAAAAGAGAAAGTATAATGTATGTAAACTGCATTATTAAGACTTAAAAAACAAACAGAAATGTTACCCCCAAAAAACAAGCAGAAATGTGGTATTCACTTGTGCCAACTCAAACATTATAGTATGAAATGCTAAATATCATCTTCATGTGTTTCTTCACACAAGACCCTACAGGAACTGTGTGTTCAGACACCCATACCGACCAAATAAAGAGAAAAAAAAGAAAATAAAATCACTCACCATCCATTCTTATCAGCATTAATTACTATCCTGTTCCATGCGCGTTGCTCTTGAATCAACATTACATGTGTTATGTGTATTTAGAGAATGTAAAAAAGATATCATAAGGAAGTATAAGGAGAAAAGAATCATGTCATTTAATATGATTTATCATAGAGCTATTACCTTCTCCGTGCCTTTGATAACGAAATATCCTCCCGGTTCAAGAGGGCATTCACCTTGTATTTGAAAAATATATTGATCCACTCATGCTCCATGTGGTCCAAATAAAACACAAATTTATGTTAAACTAGCACATCTCATGTTTTCAAATTAGCAAGGAAATGAGTACACTACCCAGTCATGTTAGTTCTTCATCATCCTTCCCATTTAGTACACAGAAACAACTTCTTACCATAATGGGGATGCGTCCAATGATAACATCCTGTTGGGAGGGGAGAGGAATTAAGCCACCTGTTTTATGTGATCTCCAGTAATTTAATACATGAAACGCATCAAACTACCTTATGTTCTATGGGTACTCTCTTCAACCTTGATTTTGTATCTGGGTACTCAATTTTAGCAACAACAGAAGTAGCGTAGCTGAACAGTGGCACAACGGAGTGACAAACACAAAAGGGAAAAAGAAACAACAATAGCAACAAAAACCAAAGAAGTAGCAACCCACAAATGGAGGCACAAAAGAGCAAAGCATCGGGGAATATAATTCCTGAAATAAAAAATGTAAAAGAAGAGAATGGGAGGAGAGTCCACATAAAATAAAGGAGTGGTAAATAACAGAACAAAATCTAGAAATCGTCTTTCATTCAAGTTCTTTTAAGGAAACTGCCGAAGTGGTTTGGCAGGAAACCATGATGCTTTTCGGGTATGAGCACTAATCCTCAGTTTTATGAAACAAGGATGATATCTTATTGATAAGTTAGAAGTTAAGACACATAGCTTCATGATTTTATTATAAAAGGACTTTAAGCGAAAGACACTCACGTAAGGTCAGACATCCGGCATGTCTTCGGATTTCAGGCATCTGAAGCTTCACGGTCTACAGGATTAAGAGATGGATTACCAACATAAACATCCTTGTACCTACAACCAAAGAAAACAACAATCAAATATGGGGCAAAAAAAGAGAATATTCACTTATACTAATGTATGAAATAACTCGCCTAAGAAATTCACTTATTCCTAGAACAATGTCCTTTATTCCCCTGACAAAGAGATTGAAAGACTCTAACTGGTTCTTTACCAGTCCTTTCGCCTACAACATCAATATAACAAGTTTATATGAGGCAACAAGGACAGTGAAAACTCATTTATGTGCATACCTTTAAGTATTCTCGAACAAGGTAAGACTTATCCAATCTTTCAGTCATGGGCACTTGCTATACCTTCAACAAATAGCATTGTTTGAATAAATCCTAACTACGAAGTTGTTTAGTAAAACAACAAGGAAGGAATATGTATTTGACTATTTGTGCATATCCACTGGCCCAGACCTTATAAGTAATGAAAAAAGAATCAGGAAACACATTGATGATTATCATACATCGATAATATTCAAACAGTGCACCAAATAAAATTGCTAAAGGCAGATACTGCAGAGCATTCCTGAACGAATAAGAACATGTAGAATAAACCTGATGGATATCGGGTCTGATGGACTCGACTCCAGGCCCAATAAAGGCCCATAATAGCGCGAGATGGATAAGGCCAGGTGGGGGTAACGGGCCGAGCCCGCTACTACACGCATGGCGAATGGGAAAAGGACAGCCCAATCATATGCTAAATCAAGATGACCCAGTCCAAAGAAGGAACGGGACATGTGGCCCACACCACCAGATTATGGACAAGATGGGAAGAGAATGAGACCGGAAAAGAGGGAATCACAACCCCATGATCTCCATAATCCCTCCCATTTTGTATAATTTTAATTACAATATTAGAGGTACTATAAAAGGGGAAAGAACCCGCCATTGTAAAGAGAGACCTCAAGTAATTCTACACTTAATCAAAGAATATTATTACAAGATTATATCTTTCTGATCCATATTACGTTCTTGGTCCGCCATCTGATCGGGTTAATCCCATCATTGGTGCTTCCATTGAGAGAAATTGTGAGATAAAGCTGTGAGATTATGGCCGGACGAAGGACGAGACGTAACACCGCTGCTTCCGCCCAGTCGACGGTGAGGAGTGACCATCCTGAACAAGGTATGATCGTTCCTGTCAATGGGCTAGAAACAGCGTTGAATAATGTGGCTAACATGATGGCCAACATTATGGAGCGGTTAGATAAGGCTCTCCCTGGTCTATCGGGTACCCGAGATGTCCCTACCGGGATTCCCCGCCAGGTCCTGCGTACTGCGAGTTCTCCCATCCTCCAAGAGCTTCATGATCTGGAGGAGGTCGAGAGGGAGAGACAGGCCGTCGCTAGATGCCGGGCGGAGGAGAGAAAGGAGGAGAAGAAAGAGAAGACTCCCAAAGAAGAAGAAAAGGCAGGAAATAAGAAGCTGTTCAAGAACAAAAAGCAGGGCTTCCCGGATGGCCCAAAGGGCACAAACCCTGGGACCCCAGAGAAGCACAAATCTGCCAATCCTGTCTTCACGTTGCCGGTGGCTGAGGTTATGGCCCATGCTGCACAGCAGGGACTCATGACTTATCCAACCTATTCTCAGAAGGTCTGCAATGTGGAGGACACTGGAAAATGGTGTGCTTACCATCGAAAGAACGATCACAACACAGAGGATTGCTATACCCTGAAGATTGAGATGGCGAGGCTAATCCGCCGGGGCCATCTAAAGAAGTTTGTACAAGATGGTGACGCGGGAAATCCCGGGAATGCTCAGAATGGGAAGCGTAGGGATAAGGAGGTGGCCTAGGCTGAGGCCCGGGAAAAACGCCACATCGGGCTTGAAGATGAAGAGGAGGATTCATAACCCGCACCGCACCGCCAAAAGAGACACCACGGGTGTAACTTCATCATCGGAGGGAATACTGGCGGAGACTCAGCCACGAGCCGGAAGAAGTGGGCCAACGCGGCGATGGTCAATAAGGTGCTGGTCCTAGAAGGTAAGAAGCTGAAAACTGAGCCAATTGTATTTTCCAATGCTGATTTGCCAGAAACAAGGGTCCCCCATAGGGATGCCCTGGTGATTACGATTGATATAATGGACTTTTTGATCCACAAGACTTTGGTGGATACGGGAAGTTCCGTTAATATCAAGTATATGGATACTTACAAGGCTCTTGGACTAACTAGAGATAAGTTATCACCCATTAAGACTCCGCTGACCGGGTTCACTGGTGACTCTATTGAATCAGAGGGGGTAATCACTCTCCCGGTCGAAATAGGGGATACTAAGGCCACCCGGAAGTTGGACATGGAATTCGTTGTGGTGGGGATAATCTCCAACACAAACATCATCCTCGGCCGACCCGAATTGGAAGATCTAGAGTGTGTCATTTCACCTCGTCACCTATGCATAAAATTCCCGACCCCCCATGGAGTTGGAATCGCCAAGGGATCCCAGAGAGTGTCCCGGGCGTGGTATTTGAAAGCAACTAAACAGCCTGTCAAGTACGATACCCGAGTGGGAGAGGTAACTGCACAGCTCTTAAGGGCCGAGGAGAGACGTCCCAGAGTAGAAGTTGCCGGCAACATTGAGGAAGTTGAACTGAAGCCGCGCACGCCGGGGAGGTTAGTCAGAATTGGCAAGGGCCTGGGGGCTGAACTCAGATCACGAGTGATCTCAGTCCTTAGAAGGTTCAGGAAGGTCTTTGTGTGGAGTCCAGCTGATATGCCAGGGCTGGATCACAAGATTGCAGTTCATCGCCTTAATGTTCTGCGAGATGCTAAACCGGTAAAGCAGAAGCGAAGGCATTTGTCGCAGGAAAGGAGAGATTTCGTGAAGAAGGAGGTAGCAACCTTGCAGAGCATTGGTCACATCCGGGAGGTGCAATACCCGGATTGGTTGGCAAACGTAGTTCTAGCGCCTAAGCCTCCTTTGTGGAGAATGTGCGTCGACTACACGGATTTGAACAAGGCATGCCCCATGGATCCGTTCCCTCTCCCCAACATTGACCAGATGGTGGATGAGACTACCGGATCAGAGTTAATGAGCTTCATGGACGCCTTCAGCGGCTACCATCAGATTCGGATGCACCCGGCTGATGCAGAAAAGACGAGTTTCATGACCCCGAAGGGGCTGTACTGTTACTTGGTGATGGCCTTTGGACTGAGAAATTCCGGGGCGACATATACCCGGATGGTTTTTCAAGTGCTCAAGGCTGTCCTGGGGCGAACCATGGAAGCATATGTCAATGACATGATCGTCAAGTCCAAAGAGGCCCGAGACCATGTCCGGGACCTTGAAGAGGTCTTTGAAATCATGATAAAGGTAAATTTGAGTTTGAATCCGAAGAAATGTACTTTTGCTGTTCAGGGTGGAAAATTCCTCGGGCATATGGTTAGCCGGAGAGGGATTGAAGCAAACTCGGAAAAAGTTAGGGCCATGATGGAGATGGAACCCCCGAAGACAGCAAAGGAAGTTCAGCAACTGACAGGGAGATTGGCGGCTTTGAATCATTTCCTTTCAAAGCTGGCACAGAAGGCGCACCCATTCTTTAATGTAATCAAGAAGAGGGCAACCTTCGAATGGACGCAGGAATGTCAAGAAGCATTTGAAGGATTGAAGAGATATCTGGCGAGTCCCCCGGTTTTATCCAAGCCGGAACTTGGGGACGTCCTGACTTTATACTTGGCAATTGCAGATTGTGCCATCAGTACTGTGATTGTGAGGGAAGAGAATGGAGCCCAACATCCGGTCTACTATGTCAGCAAGACCTTGAGAGACGCGGAGTGAAGGTATTCCCGTTCGGAAAAGGCCATGTTAGCGGTCTTCTACACGGCGAAGAGATTAACCCCGTACTTTCAGGCTCACTGGATTGTTGTGCTCACTAATGAGCCTTTGGCGTCACTTACCCGGAGCCCGGTGGCATCTGCCCGGATGACCAAGTGGGCGGTCTTCATCAGTCAGTATAATGTGGAGTTCAGGTCGCGCACGTCAATCAAGGGGCAAGAGCACAGGCCGATACCCAGGTAAAGGACGACTGGTGGGTAATGAGTATAATGTACTGCAAGGGAGATGACAAGAGCACAGGCCGATACCCGGGTAAAGGACGACTGGTGGGTAATGAGTATTGACGGATCTTCTAGGTCTCGATCCTGCGGAGCAGGTATTGTCTTGATCACTCCGGAAAATTTCCGGATATATTACGCCATCAGATTTCAGTTCCGTGTGTCTAACAATGAAGCCGAATATGAGGCCCTGATCAATGGACTAAGAATTCTCGGCAAGTTGGGAGTGTCCAGGGTCAAGGTATACAGCGACTCCCGCTTGGTTGTGGGACAAATCAGTGGGGAGTTTCAAGCAAAGGAAGAAAGGATGAAGAGGTATCGAGAGTTGTCCTTGGAGATGTTGGGGAGGTTCGAGTTTAAGCTTGAACACATACCCCGGGCGCAGAACGCGGAAGCTGATGTTCTATCCAAGCTTAGCGCGAAATCACCAGAGTACATAAGCAAATTAGCAACTGTCGAGGAGCTGGCAACCCCGAGTCTTAACAGAGATGAAGTGTTCAGGGTATCAGCTGATCCCCCGGAATGGTTGGACAGGTTGGAAAGATACATTGAGGACGGTGTGGCCCCGGAGGATCCCCGAAAAGCGCGTTTGCTGCGAATGAGGGCACCCACCTACAAGGTGCAGGATGGGCTCCTCTACAAGCGATCTTATAATGGTGTTTTACTCTGCTGCCTCAGGGCAGCGGAGGCGAAGGCACTAATGGAAGAGATACACGAAGGAGTATGTGCTGCACATCAGGGTCCGTACTCTATCTCTAGAAGGGCGATTATCCAGGGATATTTCTCGCCAACGATGAGGAAGGATTGCAAAGAATATGTGCGCTAGTGCCCAACTTGCCAACAATTCCAGAATATGCTCGGGAGGCCAGCCACAAACTACACACCCATCAGCTCTGTGATTCCCTTCTCAAGATGGGGGATTGATATTGTGGGAGCCCTGCCAAAAGGAGTTGGACAGGCAAGGTGGATAGTGGTGGCCATTGACTACTTTACCAAGTGGGTGGAAGCTGAACCACTTACTGGGATAACTGGAAGACAAATGATCGACTTCGTGGGAACCAACATACTTTGTAGAAGGAAGCAAATGGGTGGATGAACTACCCAGAATCCCGTGGACATACAGAACAACTCCAAGGAGGGCTACGGGTGACACTCCTTTCGGCTAAGCTTATTGTTTTGAAGCCCGGGCTCCCGTTGAGGTAGTGATCCCTACCAGGAGAGAGATAGAATATGACCCGGAAGTGAACGAACAAAACCAAGCCATAGAGCTAAACTTCGTAGAGGAACGGAGGGATGAAACACGGATCCGGGCAGAGAATTATCGTCGGCATGTGAAATCTTACTTTGACAGTAGGGTGAAACCGAGGGCATTCCAAGTGGGGGATTACGTCCTAAGGAAGCGAGAGAAGAGTCAACCAACTAATGGTGGGAAGCTGGCTAAGAAATATGAAGGACCTTATATCATCAAGGCCGTTGTTCGCCCAGATACCTACAATTTGGTGACTCCAAAGGGAAAAGAAATTGATAAGATGTGGAATATAGAGCACTTGGTCAAATTTTATCAGTAAAATCATTTTGTAAAGCGCTCTATTTTCGGATTTAAGATGTTTGTTTCAATAAAATTTTCTTTCCTTTAAAGCCAAGTGCCTTTGCATTTTCATTGTTCTATAGATTTCTTCAAAAATAAGGGGGGGGGGGGGGGNAAGATGTTTGTTTCAATAAAATTTTATTTCCTTTAAAGCTAAGTGCCTTTGCATTTCCATTGTTCTATAGATTTCTTCAAAAAAGGGGGGGGAGCACCCCCGGGCGATGTAGACCCACCTTACAGGGAGGTAGATAAGTTTATTCCATCTGCTAAAAATAGGGGAGGTAGATAAGTTTATGCCCCCGGAGGTAGATAAGTTTATGCTTCCGTCAAAAATGAAGGAAGGGTTGGGATTGGAGTTTGAGGGCCTTTACAACCTAGAATTCGGGAAGAACACCAAACAGACTTCGAGGGCTGAAGCTTAGTATTCCACCAGCACAGATCAACCGAGCAAACAAACTTCGAGGGTTGGAGCTCAACTGATCTAAGGTAGATAAGATTATGCCTAACCTGGAGGAAAGGAGGTCAGGGACAGATGAGGTACGCTCCCATGGCACGTTTCAACCCCGGGAGATGAGATTTTATATAGAGAATGAAATATGTACTTGCATTAGAAAAAGTGCAAAGAAATAAACATTAAGGACTACATTGATGGGCCAAAGTTTACATTTTTGGTTCACAATAATGGTTCCTAATGAGATAAAAAACAGAAAATGAGGAAGTTCATCGATTGCTAATTCGGAGGTTGTATCCTTGAATTACAACGATAATTCCTAGTCTGAAATTAAGGGACATTCCTTAGTTTGGGACGCAGAAAAAACTCCTGGACCAAACAAGTGAATACCTCTTGAAATAAAACAAGGAAAAGAAATTTAATTTGCAGGGGGCTAGGCACTGAAGGAGGGCCTATTGCATCCATGCAGTCAACAAGAACGAGGTGGGGTCCCCTTCCATGGGCTCTTTCTCTTCGACGAGGGGCACGCGGTGGAATCAGCAGCTTCCTCTATGTCATAATCTTCCCACGTCCCAGGACGGGGAGATGGTGCTCCCAATGAAGAACCATCATTGAAAGACTTCAGCAAGTTTGGAGAAGCAGTCCGGCTTTCACGTGAAGGTTCTGCCTTGACAATCGGAAAAGAATGCCCAAGTTTAGCCCTGCGCATCCTCTGGTACAAGGCGAAGTCTTGGAGGGTCATAGAGTCCCAGTCTATCCTCCTAGATGGAAGCCTAGGTGGATTAGGAGGAGATGGTGCAGGAAGACGAGGTGCTGGATAAAGTCTTGAGAACTCGCCAGGACTCAACCCAGCCATGTCGTTGGATTGAGCCGGAGAGGCGGAGAAAACGTCATCTGAAGAAGAAGATGTCCCAGAATGGGTTAAGTCGATGACGACTTTACTCTGAGATTTACTTGCCATGGCGAAGAAATCAGAAAGGGATGAACTAGCAGCAAACCATCCTTTCCCGTTTATAGTGAAAGGGTAAGAGATAGTTGGGAAGTAATGAATGCGATTAAAAGACGTGAAAGACTAAGCGATTGGCGAATGAAGCGGTCGAAGATTCCCAATGTTTGACCACGGGTTTTCGCCACTTAAGTGCATGGGACAGTTAATTTGGCCCGTCTGCGCTTTAGGAAAGATGTCATCCTTGGAAGGTAAGGAGTTAAATGAATATAGACTTCTACTTAATGCAGATGGCGGCACGTACAACACAATAATATTAAATGACAGGAGGTATAGGTTTTTCCATTAAATAGCTCAAATAGAAAGTTACATTCTTTTGGGTTACAACAATGGGCCTTATCCTTGATCTAACAATAAAACATTAAAGAGACGAGAGATAAAGACTTTCAGTAAATCACTCAAACAGAGGATTACATTCTTTTGGGTTACAGTAATGAACTTTATCCCTGATCTACTTTTATCCTACTACTGGAAAGATCTGAAGGCAGGGCGAGTCGGCACTTCAGGGATATGAGGGGAGTGCATTCGCTAACCCTTGCTGCCCTGCCTGAACCAGAAAAGAACCCTAGAGCGGGGAGGTGTGGAGAGAGCCCACCGTTCCTCTTGATGACATTCAAAAGAATGCGAAAGGGTACCAACGGGTTGGGATTGAAAGCCACCCCCCCCCCTCCCCGTGGGCACCATCCCATCACTCCCATGAAGGCGGACAAAGAGGACGATAAGGCATGAGGGAAGGACTCAAGGTCTATTTCCGGTCATACGGAAGGTGGAGGCGGTTCCCAGAAGGTTCTGTCCTTTTCCTTGCGTATAAACGGAAGCCTATTTCCCCCATGTCATTGTCCCCCCACTCCTCAGGTTGCTGTCCATATGACTTCTAAGGGGAGGGAGAACCCTGGGAGGAAATCCTCGCACCAGAGACCAACCGGGAAGCTCCTGAGTGAGGATTGCGTCTCTTCTAGGGACGAGACGTACCAGGACAGCCAGAAGAAACTCCTGTCGTGGTACCGTTAGGAAGCACGTCGGAACCCGGAAGAACACCCCCTGATGTATGTTGGGGGAGATGAGGGTGGTTCTCCTCCCTGGGCAAGGGAGAAGTCACCGATTGTTCAGAGGCAAGAGAAGGCCCAGAAGAGAGTTTGGGTGTTGGGGCCCCAAGTGAGGGGAATGCCAACGAAGACGAATCAGAATATGAATCGGAAATAGTAAGATCAATAAAGACAACTCTGTTGGCGTTATTTTCCATGTTGAGAGTTTAATTGTGATTGTGAAGGGGTTCAGCCTAGCCCCTTAAATAGGCGAGTAATCCTAAAGGAGAAGTGCAAGGGACGCGGAGTCAAAGCACTTATCCGATTGGGAAGCAATTGCGGATTCCCGAGGAAAGCTAGGGTTGCACCATTTCATTATTGGGCTAAGGTGAATTGGGCCCGGTGTAATTAAGGTGGGCCAGTCACCAAGTGCAATGATAAAGGAAAAACAGCACTTTGTAAACATGGTTAAGCCCAAGGCTTAGACGGATAAAATTCTGCTAAGTCCTAGAGAGAGATAAGAATCCCAAAAGGAGAACAGTTAGCCCAAAGGAAGGAGTCTACAGAAACAAGGATGTGAAAGAGATTATGGCAAAGAACAAAATGTTGCAAGCATTATCAAGTTGTTACCATATAAATGTTACAAAGCAAAATACAACAGCTAGAGAAGAAAAAGAAAGTCAAGGCCCCGGGTCAGCATGAGAATCTGGGGGAGGAAGAGGAAGAGGTAACCCATAGTGGGAGATGAAATCATCCAAGGATTGGTGAGCTGGAAGACCACTCTGGACCGCCTCATAGATGCAGTGTTGCATGTCAAATTTCCCTTCTTCATAAAGGGCTTCAGCACGGGCAGTCAGGGTGGAAACCTCTTCTTGATGAGCAGCTATTGCCTTCTCCAGTTCACCCATCCTTGACCGGAGCTCGCTGGCAGTCTGTCTCTCCTTCCCCAACTTCTCGAGAGTAAGCCTTTTCGCCTCTATGTGTTTCACCACGAGATCATTAAGATGGGCACCCTCTTGCTTGGCTTCTTGGAGGGAACTCTCCAGCTCAGAAATCCGGGATTCCCTTTCGACCAGCTCAACTTTAACCGGAGACTTCTTCTGCGACAGAGAAGGAGGTTGAAGTGCAGAAACAATTGGATGCCTCATCCACGATGGAGAAAGAAGCTGAAGAGCAAAAAGGTGCTAAGGCTCCTCCAGAAACGTAGAGAGAGACTGAGAAACAATAGGAACCAGAAAAACATCTTTCCACTGTCACACCCCCAGCCTTCAATCTCCCCATCCGGTGCAAGTTCACGCCGCAAACCTACCCTGCCTCTAGGGAGGGTGTGGGCAGGCTTTTCCCGCGGTTTGAACTCCTAACAGGCCTCCCACTGGACTATCCAGGCAAATCTAGAGAATATGAGGGAATCAGTGCAGGAGCCTGCAATTCCCCAGGCACGCCCTGACTTGCTTGCCCTCAATGCTCTGCACTTCATGGAGTAGGTATTCTTTCTTTTCAAGAATCTCATTATCTCTTTTTAACTATCTCTTTCTTGACTTCCTTTCCCCTTTCGAGGCCCAACAATCACTCCTCACTCTGACTGAGGAGTACTTGGGTGGAGCATTAGGGAACTACCGGGCTGTGGTGGTCCTGAAGGAGAAGGAGTTGGCAGGCAGGGCTTTGCAACAGAAAGTTGACACCTTGGAACAACTGTAACACCCGCCTTCTGTGGACCCGGTTCACCCGCGACCCAACGGACCGGTAGGGTTACATGGACAGTCCAAGAACCATCCGTTACGAAAACATCAATGACTATTTAATAAGAAAACGGTTTGGTTTTATTTAGAGGAATAAATTCCAGGGAGCTACTCCCAAAACGTGTGTAATGAAAGTGCAGAGTACTTGCGGAAGTAATTAGATAAGTTCAGTCCAAACTAAATAACAACAAGGGTGGGTTCATGCCCAATTGATTAATGAAATCATTGAAAGTAATTAAGAGTTCGTCCGTGCGCCGCCCGTCTCCCCATCGTCACCGCTCTCCAGGGTTGGCACCTGCTCCGTCATGTCTACCTGCGTGTAGCAAAACAACTACACGCTCAGCAAAAGCTGAGGAGTGAATCTAACAAAAGAACATGAAGTGATAACCCATGTGGCTATACCCATATCAATACCTGTACTTAACGTACGGGACACCACACGTTACTAACTGTTTAGTTTTCATCTGTTAAAGCTGTTTCGAAATACAAGGAACATAATGATGACGATATGACTTGGTGCATGACTTAAACTATCAGGGACACCCCTGGCTTAGTCTCACTCGACAGGATCACCCCTGCACTCCGGTCATCGTTCCCGAACGGTAACGAGCCGGGCACGACGAAGACATCGCGAGTGGACTAGCGGAACCGGGTAGTAGCCGTAACCTGACTACTATGTACGTACACAAGCCCAACATGATGAAAACCCGCTGGTTCCCAAAGGTTCCTGGACGGGCCCACTGTAGTAGGCGCTTGAAGTCCTCCCTACAGCGGTATGCATATGATGGAAACCTAGAACATCCGTCTAGAAACGAACATGATGGAATGATTGCATTGATTAAAGAAAAATAGTTAAATTCAATTCTTACACATGTGCTTGATTATGATTTGTTCAACATGATGACCCTGGGTTCAGAACTGGCTGATAATCGATTATCTGCTGTTGATAATCGATTATCATGCTGTGCAGCTTCTGTCCCCAAAGTCCTGCAGACTGTGATAGTCGATTGTCACCCCATGACAATCGATTGTCAAGTTGGTTTACCAGGAAAGTCCTAAGTTCAGAGAGACCTGATAATCGACTGTTGCTCTGAGATAATCGATTGTCAAGTGAACCAGCTCTGACTCAAGAATCCGCAGGGTCTGATAATCGATTACCACTTATGTGATAATCGATTGTCACACTATGCTGGATCAACTGAGGAGTTCAGCGTGACCTGATAGCTGATTATTCCGTTCTGTAAATCGATTACCAAGGCACGCTGATTCCCATTTTGACTGTTTGGTTATCATCAATACGTTGGGAGTTTTTCTTTGAACGAACGTTTATGATTACATATTAAATATTCCATGAATATACGAAATTTCAAAATGCTTGTATAAACGAGTTCGTAACTTGATAACACGGACTCTCGTATGTTTGATGGCTAACCTACGAACATGCATAGATTCTACGTAGGTTGCGTACGATATTCCTATGAATATAACGACATAGTTTATAACTAAATGTTCTAGAATTAGAGAGACAACTACTCACCTCTAAACGAAGGGGTTGATGGAACGAGATGAACGACGACAACGCTTCGCACGAATGGCCTAGCTCCTCCCTCCTTTCCTCTCCCTCAACTGTGCACCCACCGGAGCTTCGTCGGAACCCTCCCTGGCTGCTGTTGCCTTGGCCGAAAGTAAGGGAGTGAGAGAGAGTGGAGATTGTGAATACTTGGGGGTTACAAAATGGGGTGTGAAGGGAGAGGAAATGATGGGGTTTTAATGGTGGATTAAGGAGACTATTAATTGGAAATGATGGGGGTGTTGAAGGAGCCGAACCAAGGGTCTAAGGAGGTTACAAAACTTATTTACTCCGTATTGTAAAAATCTGACCTGAACGGTACGCGCTTTTCCCCCCGAACGGGTCCGAATTGAAATCCGTTTGCGTTTCTGGAATCAGACAGTCAAGACGAATTTAATGATATGATCAAATAATTTTTCTAAGAACTTTTTCATTTTCCCAACCCCGGTCCGGAACAGTAATTAATTAATTAAATTAATCAATTCTAATAGACCGGGTTGCAGGGCGTTACAA